GTAGCCCCCAGTGCCTGAAAGTATGAAGGCAAAGGGACATGCTTCTGAGGGCCCCTAGTCACACACGCCAGGAAGAATCACAGCAAAATTGTACCCATAGATGCATCATCGGCGAACCGCCTAACAGGCACAAACATCTTCCCACTGGCTTCATCCAGGTTGAAGATTTTGTGGTTTGGCTGAGACAATGCAATTCTCAGGCACACACAAGTTAGTCTGTCTGGGCACCAGCCATATGCCAAGAGTGTTTAGTGAGCTGCACGTGCACAGTTCTGTGTTCATCGTAAGGAATTTGCAATGAGGAAGGTAAGCATCCTGTATTGCTCAAGAGACATGGTAAGTCTCTTCTGCAATAAAAACTTTCCTGCTCAAAAAATGTTTCGTTTTTTTTTTTTAACCAGCAATTTTTTTTTCACAGATCTGAACACAGCTGCATAGTCTTCTATGAGACCACGTGCACAACGGTGTAAAAATTGGTAAACACAGGCTGGGTAAGGACACATAAAAAAAGGAAATAAAATCTGCCACTGTGGCGAGTAATTTACATCTACACATTTGTAATAATGTTTACATATATAAAGCTCAAGTGCGCTCTATTGGAGATGCCTGTGTCTTAGCAACATAAGGATGTTGGGTGGATTTACTGAGAAGCCACCTGTGGCTTAGCAACAGAAAGAGAAGTGACTTATGTTAGAGGCTGCCTACGTTTTAGCAACAGAAGGTTGCTAGGCAGCTTAACTAAGAAGCCACCTGCATCCTAGCAACAGAAGGATGCTAGGCAGCTTCATTGAGAAGCCACCAGAGTTTTAGCAATTTATGGATGACAGACAACTTAATTAAGAAGCTGCCTGCATCTTAGCAATGGAAGGATCTAAGGCCGCTTTCTTGAGATGTCTGCATTCTAGCAATGAAAGGATGCTTCTTCCTTGAGAACCTGCCTGCGTCCTAGTAATGGAGGGATGCTAGGCAGCATCCTTGCAGCAGGAAAACTCGGTAGCTTCACTGAGAAGCTGCCCACCCCTTAGCAATCCAAGGATGCTAGGAAGCGTCCTTTAGAAGCTTTCTGGATCCTAGCAACATAAGGATGTAAGACTGCTTCACTGAGAAGCAACCTGTGGCTTAGCAACAGAAGAATGAGGTTAGTTATGAAGCCGCCTGCATCCTAGCAACAGAAGGATTCTAGGCGGCTTCCTTGAGTATCCACCTGCATTCTAGCAGTGGAAAGATGCTTCTTCCTTGAGAGGATGCCTGCATTGTCGCAACAGAAGGAAACTGAGTAGCTTCACGGAGAAGCTGCCTGCCCCTTAGCAAGGAAGGATGCCAGGAAGCTTTCTGGATCCTAGCAACATAAGGATGTAAGACTGCTTCACTGAGAAGCAACCTGTGGCTTAGCAACAGAAATGAGGTTAGTTAAGAAGCCGCCTGCATCCTAGCAACTTGCTAGGCAGCGTCAGTGAGAAGCCACCGTAGTTTTAGCAACTTAAGGATGATAGCAACTTAATTAAGAAGCTGCCTGCTATGGAAGGATCTAAGGCTGCTTTCTTGAGATGTCTGCATTCTAGCAATGCAAGGATGCTTCTTCCTGAGAAGCTGCCTGCATCCTAGCAACATAAGGGTAAGACTGCATCACTGAGAAGCCATCAGTTAGCAACAGAAGAATGAGATTAATTGAGAAGCCGCCTTCCTGGCCATGGAAGGATGCTAGACAGCTTAATTGAGAAGACTCCTGCATCTAGCAACAGAAGGATTCTAGGTGGCTTGCTTGAGTATCCACCTGCATTCTAGCAGTGGAAAGATGCTTCTTCCTTGAGAGGATGCCTGCATTGTCGCAACAGAAGGAAACTCAGTAGCTTCACGGAGAAGCTGCCTGCCCCTTAGCAACGGAAGGATGCCAGGAAGCTTTCTTTAGAAGCTTTCTGGATCCTAGCAATATAAGGATGTAAGACTTTTTCACGGAGAAGCAACCTGTGGCTTAGCAACAGAAGAATGAGGTTAGTTAAGAAGCCGCCTGCATCCTAGCAACAGAAGGATGCTAGGCAGCTTCACTGAGAAGCCACCGTAATTTTAGCAACTTAAGGATGATAGGCAACTTAATTAAGAAGCTGCTGCATCTCAGCTTGGAAGGATCTAAGGCTGCTTTCTTGAGATGTCTGCATTCTAAAATGCAAGGATGTTCTTCCTTGAGAATGCTGCCTTCCTAGCATAGAGGGATGCTAGGTGGCTTCCTTGAGAAGCTGTCTGCATCCTAGCAAATAAGACGTAAGACTGTCATCACTGAGAAGCCACCAGTGGCCTTAGCAACAGAAGAATGAGATTAATGAGAAGCCGCTTGCATCCGTGGATGGAAGGATGCTAGGCGCTTAACTGAGAAGACTCCTGCTATTCTTAGCAACAGAAGGATTCTAGGTGGCTTCCACTGAGTATCACCTGCATTCTAGCAGTGGTCATGATTCTTCCTGAGAGGATCTGCATTGTCGCCACTGAAGGAAACTCAGTAGCTTGATTACTGCCCCTTGCAACGGAAGGATGCCAGGAGCTTCTTGAGAAGCTGCCTGGAAAATGCTCATAGGTGGCTTTAAGCCCCTGCCCTTAGTAACGGACATCTTCCAGACTACAGAGCAAAGTACACTGCAGGAACGCAAAGACGGCAAACCAATTTTCCAACGACCGGTGCTGTGTGTCAACTTCCTGTGCTGTTGGTAGAACTGCAAATATTCTGAAAAGGTAAAATGCTTCATATGTGCATGGATTCTTGGAATTCTGATTTATCCAAATCAGATTTCATCTATTTTTTTTTTTTTTAATTGCTTTATAAAATGACAGCAAACCGTGGATTGGTTGCTATGGGCCCTGCCCCCATTTCTCATTCCTTCTTCACTAGGCCCGTCATGATCACACATCTGAATCTAATCGAGCCACTGTGATATGATTCAGTGAAAATGACTGAGGTTATCTGCTCAAACGTTAACCCCGACACCCCAAGATGCAGGTCGAGGCGAGCGGGCAATCACTGTGCTAACATATTCTTCCAGTTGCCACATGGCACTATTAACGGATTACGTGGGCTGGGTTATTTATTGGTATGTTATAAGGAATCAGCGCTGACGGGAAGAGGAATCACACAGAGCTTTGGAGTGCTATGATCTTCAATTAATTATAATTTTAAGTAATTACAAAAAATAAAATAAAAACAAAATTATCCAGCATGAACTGACTGCTTTTGCAAAGAAACGCAATGCCAAGTGCCACAGCTTATCTAAACACAAGCGCAGAAATTGATGGTGTTCCAGCTTACCGGTCCATAGATGGGGTGGCTGCATTTGTTTTCTTTCTTTATTTTGACATAGTGATCGTGCCATTAAAGAGGTATTAATCCCAAAATCAAAAGTGTACTATATATTGGGCAGCACAGTGGCTAAATGGTTAGCACTTCCGCCTGGCAGTACTAGGGTCGCTGGTTCGAATCCCAACCTCGGTACCACCTGCCTGGAGTTTGCATGTTCTCCCTGTGCCTGCGTGGGTTTCCTCCGGGTACTCCGGTTTCCTTCCACACTCTAAAAACATGCTGGTAGGTTAATTAGCTCCTGTCTAAATTATCCCTAGTATGTGTATGTATGAATGTGAGTTAGGGACTTTAGATTGTACGCTCCTTGAGGGTTAGGGACTGATGTGAATGTACAATATATATGTGAATCCCAACCTCGGTACCACCTGCCTGGAGTTTGCATGTTCTCCCTGTGCCTGCGTGGGTTTCCTCCGGGTACTCGGGTTTCCTCCCACATTCTAAAAACATGCTGGTAGGTTAATTGGCTCCTGTCTAAATTGGCCCTAGATGTGTATGTATGAATGCGAGTTAGGGACTTTACATTGTACGCTCCTGAGGGTTAGGGACTGATGTGAATGTACAATATATATATGTAAATGCTGCGTAAATTGACGGTGCTATACAAGTACCTGCAATAAATAAATATTGTGGGTCACCAATCTTTTGATGTTATGGCTCCATTAGTTTTCTTTCTAGGCTTTCCTTTTCTTTCATTTGGTAATCTGGTCATTAAGTTTGCAGTATTTCAATAGAACAAGCTCTTCTACAAATGTTGCAGTTATTGTGTTGAAGCAAACCATTTACCACTGGAATTGGTGGTTTTAATGATCAGCTTTTATTTATTCATGTAAAAACCTTTATCCCAAAAGGAAAAAAAAAATGTTGCTGTACCTGCTTGTGTAACTGCAGTCTGAGCTGCAGTTTGGCTTCAATTTGTTAATATAACTAAATCTGCTAGTAAATCTACCACGCCCCTCGACCCAGATTGCCAATGCTGCTGTCTGCTGTGTCCCCTGTGCTCCTTCATCCTGAGTGGGGACACTCTAATGCAGGAGGTGTTACTGGCTCGAACACCAGGTGAAAGCAGAGGAAAAAAGCCTAAAAAAGAAAACAAATGCAGACACCACATCTAATGATTGGTAAGTTGCAATATTACATTTTTTGTTTTGGGTTTAATACCACTTTAACTCACTTCCTGTCCTAAGGGAACAACCATACTGATCAGCGTTGTCACTCCAGGATGGAGAGGTTAGGACTATAGAACACTGTGTTGGGACTACACAACGCCTCCTTCTCTTCTCCACAACATGGGGAGGTGTTTTGTAGTCTGTGGAGATAACAGGGAACAATGCTAACTGATAACTTCCTGCGCTCTCTCTGGATTACTATCAGCTCTTGAGATTTCAGGATGGATGCTTTTTAGCTGCCATACCTCCTATGCTGTCTCCCAGTTTCTGGGTGTGCATGGCAATATCACGAGTCCTGAACCAACTGTCACTAGGACTGATAGTGATGAGAAACAAGAATTTGTATTATCACAACAGAAATAGATGGGAAAGGTTCAGATGGGCACCCTAGTTCTGGCCCCTTGTCTCTGACAGCTGTCAGACAGGGATTGCTCTCACATTGGAGGATATTCCTCTAAATCACAGTTGTCAAACCCGCGGCCCTCCAGCTGTTGCCAAACTACAAGTCCCATGAGGCATTGCAAGACTGACAGTTACAAGCATGACTCCCAAAGGCAGAGGCATGATGGGACTTATAGTTTCGCAACAGCTGGAGGGCCGCCAGTTTGACACCCCTGGTCTAAATGCTTGTGATGTCTTTCAGACAGAGAGTGAAGGAAAAGTTCCCTAATGTGAATGGTTTAAAGAAAAAAAAAAGGGTTTTACCCATCCCCTACCCTGTTAAATATGAAGAGAAAAAAAAAAGTTTGGGCTTTAAAAGTATGTTGGGTTTAACCCAGGGCTCGACAAATCACAGGTGCCAGGTCGCCATGTAGACTAGAAATTGCATCCTGGTGCCTGGGCTTTTGTGAGCCATCTGCCTTCCACTTGCTGACCGCACTATAGCCAAAAGACCGCTACAGAGCGGTCGTCCAGGTCTGGGAGGGAATCTATTGACGTCCTCCCAGATCCTTGCCCCCAGGGTGCACAGTAGGCACGTTGATCACAGTTCAAGGTAAAGGGCCAATCACAGCATCCCTTTACCATGTGTCCAATCACAGCTGATCACGTGTAAACAATTGCCAATTATCGGCATTTCCTTTCCTCAGCGATGTCACAGTGTAAGTAAAGAAACACTGATAACCAGCTATCCTGTGACAGGGGACATTTACACTGATAATCAGGGTACTGATCATCAGTGCCCTGATCATCAGTGCAGCATATCAGTGCCCATTAGTGCTGCCTATCAGTGCAGCCAAATCAGTGCCTTCTCATCAATGCCCCTCATTGCAGCTTATCAGTGTCCATCAATCAGTGCCTCCTATCAATGCAGCCTCATCAGTTCCTCCATCATTAAAACTCTAAAGAAATCAATAAATCAAACCTTTTTTTTAATTACATTTTTTTTTGTTTACACCCCAGGGGCATCATTACTGGTTCTCTATACTTCCCTATACAATGCAGGCAGATCGTGCTGGTGGAATGGATCAGCAGGGAATGGTACATAGCTTCCTGAAAAGAGGAAACTGTGACAACACACCCCTGTGATGCTGAGTCTCCAGGATTCCACTGAAATCCAAAGTAAGAAGGGGGAAGGCCAGGGACAGTCAGACTGGGAAGGAAAGGGCTAGATCAGGGGTGTCAAACTCCGTTTCATCATGGGCTGTATCAGCATTATGGTTGCCCTCAAAGGCAAAGTAAGAACTAGCTGTCCAGAGCACCCCATCACATCAGATGTCAAGAATCCCACGCCCTCCCTAATATCACCATGCACCTCCTTTGGGAGCATAGCTGGAAAGCAGAAAGTGCAGGGTCTGGAGGAGGACCAGAGGAGGAATGGAGTCAGTTACCTGAGTCTGCTGAATGCTGAGACCAGGGGAGGTAGGGATGAGGGGGTGCTGCAACTGCACTGAGAGATGCAGGATTTGGCAGAGGAGTTCTATTCACTTCTCTGCTGCCGACTGCTGAGACAGGGTGGGATCAAAGACAAGGGGGTACCTGCAGGAGAAGTGCAAGGGCCGCATGAAATAGCCTGGAGGGCCAGATTCAGGCCAAGGGGCCTTGTATTTGACACCTGTGGGCTAGATAATTCTGGACATCCTCCACCCAGAAAATGAGGGCTCCATCTGATTTGCTGCAGCTTCAAATGCACATTGGGAGACGCACACGAAGTGGCTGCACTCGCACTGTCTGAGGGACCTTCACAAATGTCAGATTGGGAGCAGCGGTTGTGTCTGTGCAGGAACTGCATCCCAATTGACATGAATGGGACTGCCTGCACGGGAATACATGAAACCCTGTGCACAGCCCTCAGGTGGGTGTACTCGGTGGTGTGCCCATATGAATGAGGCCTTAGGTGCAAATAAAAAAAATATCAACGATTTAAAAGGAAATATAATACCGGACGAGAGTTCTACAAAACATGGCTGTGCTGCCCGCAGCCACCTATCAAATCTGAATGGTTATTAAAGCCTATGTTTCAGCAAAAAAAAAAAAAAAAACTGCGCAGTCATGCAACACTGTACCCATATGAATTTTTTAGCATTTTTTTGAGACAGATAAAGCTTTATTTTGGTGGTATTTATTCACCACTGGGATTTTTATTTTTTTTTGCTATATAAATGAAAAAGTCCAAACATTTTGAAAAAAAGTGTTTTTCTTATAAAATTTTGCAAATAAATAATATTTCATCATAAATCTTGTCCAAAATTTATTCTGTTATCTTTTTAGTAAAAAAAAAAACCAAATTAGTTTATAACCAAAAATTATAATTTTTAAACTTTTTTTTTTACATTTTTATTTTATTTTTTTATATTATTGTTTTTTTTTTTACATACTGTCACCCTAGCAGTACAGTGTGTCACCATGGTGACACTGTACTACTTGTGGGGGGTGATGAAGATTTTTTTTTTATTTTTACATTGATTGCTTTTACACCCATAAAGGCTGTAAAAGCAATCATTTCTTCTTCTCTCTGGCTGCATTCTTGCAGCCATTGAGAGAACTGCGTGAGCTGCGATTGGTCACAGCTTGTCACATGGTACAAGGCTGTTGTGAATAGCCTTGTACCATGTGACCTCTGTAATCATTCACAGCTTTCACACGTAGTAAGCAATGATGTCAGAAGTTACATCTTGCTTACACCTATTCATGTGATCACCGATTGGCCAATCAGTGATCACGTGATCGGGACCTCGCACAGAGGTCCCGTACGACGTTCGGTGTTCCACTGTGTCCTGAGGACACAGCGGGCACTGGATCGCGCTGCTGCGCGCTCCCACAGAGCCGCACAAGCAAGGGGCTTTATAAACGGCCACCCCACCCTGCACTGCCACCGTCCGGCCGTTTATATACATGAGCCTGACAGGAGGTGGTTAAAGTAGTTGCACTGGTGCTAGGTAAAAGAGACACTTATATTTCCAGTATTTAAAGAGTAACTCCACTTTTGTTGGGAAAAAAAAAACCTTCCCCTCTGGGTGATCAATGTACAGTGCAAGAATTTTAACAAACTTTGCTGCAGATTCCTACCATTTTTTATTCTGAACAAATAGCTGTTCCGTGTGCAGAGTGAATCTGTATGGGGATGATTTTATAATCATCAATCAGCTTCTGCCCCTGTAGGGCTCTAATGAGGAAAGTGGCAGGGTCTGCATCCCTTTAGACAAGATTTCACCAAAAATGCCACTTTTGTTACAGGGGATGCCGAAAATCCAACTTGTATCTTAGTGCAGACTTCTGGTAAAATCAGTGAGCCAATCATACAAGCAGAAAATGACATACCTGGGGGGGGCGGGGCATTCTGTGCACCATCTGTATACAATCCACAGTGCATTTTACAAAAACATTACAGAGCTGCAGATTGAAAAGGAAAGGTAATTACCTTTTCAATTACAATATGACTTTTGTTTTGCTATTTTTTTCCCATGGAAGTAGAGTTACCCTTTAACTGCTTTCCGACCACGCTATAGTTGGAAGATGGCTACAGCGTCATCTAGTTCAGGGTAAAGGGCCAGTCACAGCTGATCAGATGTAAACAGACTTGCCAGTCCTTTCCTCACACACTGTCTCTGTGTGAGGAAAGGAAAGCTGATAACTGGCAAGGCTGTCAGTACATGGTTTACACTGACAATCAGGGCACTGTTCATCAGTACGGCATATCAGTGACACCTATCATCAGTGCAGCTTAACAGTGCTCATCAGTGCTGCCTCATCAGTGAAGAAGAAAAATTACCAAATTGCAAAATTTTATAAAACGGAAACGGAAGAAAAAAAAAGGTTTTTCAAAATGTTCTGTATTTTTTGTTTGTTTAGCAAAAAACAAAAATCCAGTGGCGATTACATACCACCAAAAGAAAGCTCTATCTGTCTAAAAAAATGATTAAAATTTCATGTCGGTACAAAGGTGCATGACTGCACAACTGTCATTTAAAGTGCGACAGCGCTGAAAGCTGAAAATTTGCCTGGGAGGGAAGGGGGTGAAAGTGCCCAGTATTGAAGTGGTTAAAGTGTTACTAAACCCACAACAGTACAATCAGTCTGTATATGCAGTAAAGCATGCTTGTTATACTCACTGTGGAACCTAAGGGGTTAATTCTCCGCATGTGTAAAAAGGCTGTTTGATCCTGTCTTCTCTGATCCACCCCTTCTTCTACTGTCCCCTGTCCATCAGCTGATAGTACAGAGCTCTAGGAGTGACTCTGCACATGCTCAGTTTAGTGTGTATTGCTAGAGTTTTTTTTTTCTTTGAGAGGGTACATGTGATCGGCACAGGGCCAATCAGCGCTGTCCAGACAGAGGTGCAGAGGTTATGCAGCCTCATAGGACAGTCATAGCAGAAGAAAAACACCTCCTACAAGCTTTAACTAGTGGTCTGCAGGACACTGATAGAAGTCACAAGACTGCTCTAACTGCTGATGAGAAAAGATATTTAGCAGTTTATATTTACTAAAATAATTGCATTTCCATGTTGTGTGTACTGTGGGAGACCTGATATAGTGAGTGCAGGGTCCGGGGGGACCGGATATAGTGAGTGCAGGGTCCGGGGGGAACGGATATAGTGAGTGCAGGGTCCGGGGGGAACGGATATAGTGAGTGCAGGGTCCGGGGGGAACGGATATAGTGAGTGCAGGGTCCGGGGGGGGATATAGTGAGTGCAGGGTCCGGGGGGAACAGATATAGTGAGTGCAGGGTCCGGGGGGAACGGATATAGTGAGTGCAGGGTCCGGGGGGAACGGATATAGTGAGTGCAGGGTCCGGGGGGGAACGGATATAGTGAGTGCAGGGTCCGGGGGGAACGGATATAGTGAGTGCAGGGTCCGGGAGAGCAGATATAGTGAATGCAGGGTCCGGGGAGAGCAGATATAGTGAATGCAGGGTCTGGGGAGATCAGATATAGTGAATGCAGGGTCCTGGGGAGAGCAGATATAGTGAATGCAGGGTCCGTGGAGAGCAGATATAGTGAATGCAGGGTCCGTGGAGAGCAGATATAGTGAATGCAGGGTCTGGGGAGATCAGATATAGTGAATGCAGGGTCCGGGGTTTAATAACACTTTAATAAATCACCACAGCTGGGGCTGACAAAATAAAAAAGAAATATGGATGCTCTCTATAAACAGTTTGGCCTACGCCTGCAAAATGAAATATACTTTAATGGGATGCAAAGGGCAATGGCTTTGCGCTTGTTTAAGTTTTCACACATGAATCTTCATTCTCAAAGCTGTGCCACAAAGATAAGGATCTTTATTTTAGGCATGTGACTGTCATTATCAAATCTCATTGGACTTCACTGAAAAGCAACTGTCACTTTTTTTTTTTTTTCAATGAAAATTTATGTAAACTATAATAATGAACTTATTCCTATTCCGTCTGTTAAATATACAACTAAAAGCATTTTTTTTTTTTTTTGTTTTTTTTTAAACAAATGAAAAGAAATACCAGCTGATCCTGCCAGAACTCCAGTGAGCTCATAACTTGCTGCAGTGAGCTGGCAAAGCTGCACTGCAATACTAAATTGTGTTATCAGCCCTGAGTGCTCTCCTTGAACTACAGAACACCTCCATCCTATTAGAAAGTGACACTAAACTCTGATTTGAAAAAAAATATTCAAGTTCTTATTGCTCCCAGCCTCCTGCAAACTCCTTTTTTTTAGTTGCTGTGATCTGACTTCCTGTTCGAGGGTGGCTATGTTCATTCTTCAAGGTCCTACTGTACGTAGGAAGGTGGCCACCCTCTCGTGCTCACTCCCAAGATGGACCATGGGATCTGTAGTGTACAAAGAGCGGTGTGCACAAACCGCAACTAACCTACACTACTCATTGCAAACGGAAGTGAGGGGGAAGAGGAAAGGTCTGGAAGATTACATGGTCATTACTAAGTGGATGTGGAAGGGTTATACTATATTTGGAAAATAAGAATATTGTTTAGTGTCACTTTAAGGCGCCAACAAGAAGGGGAGGTGTCCAAGACTGACAACACTGCTTCCACATAGATATGACAGTGAGTGAGTGTTGCCCCCCTTGGACAGGAAGTGTGTTAATGAAGGATCACCAGGCACAGATAATGAAAAAATCCCTGAAAAATAGAAGACTAATGCAGCCACCACATCTAAGGACTGGTAAGCTGCAACATATGACATTCTTGGGTTTACACACACTTTAGGAATTCTTATCCAGGTTTGTTAGCTTCTAGGAACTGCACCAATGAAATCTTCTTTCAGATGGAATGGAAAGTTGCAAGCAATATATATACTTTCTAAGAAAAAGGTCACAGTATACTGGAGGTTTTCTTTTAATGAGAAAAAAAAAATCCTTTATTCTCCTCACTTGTGATCCATGATTTCCCAATCCACCCACACAGCAAATCTTCTATCTCGATCCATAACTCATAATTGCCCAACCCCCCCCAATCAATCCGCCCGGAAAAACGAATGATCCTCACTGTCAGACACGACATGCACAAGACTCCCTTCTAGAACAGCAGATATACGCATCTAGAAATCAGCCATACAAAGCCCGAGTCACGGCCCCCACACATCTGACAGCCTGACAATGATCTCCAAACAGCAGAGCTCACCAAAAATCGTCCACGCACAGTCCCCCCCCCCCCCCCCAATGAAGGAGATCGGACTGGGATACAACCACTCCGGTAGGCATTGACACCTAGTACGGAACATACATTTCTGAGTACCAGGATACATACATACATACACATTTTTTTTTTTTTCATTCCAACCACCCCACAACCCCCCCCAAAAGGACCAAAACGTAAACATAAATATATAATATATATGTTTTTGGTGGTTTTTTCCCAATGGAGGTTGAAAAATACAAAACGTAAACTCTCATAATAAAATATATATGTATATGTGCACGTATTTTTTTCAAAAATGAAAATAAAATTATATATATATATAAAATTATTTTTAACTGCACACCTTCCAAAAGGTAAAAAAGCCACACAAAAATGAAAAAAAAAGCCTAATTTGTAATTACAACTCATCTGTGTATATAGTTTTATTTTTTTTTTTTTTTACAGATGTATTTTATATTTTATTATTATTAATTGCACACATATAGTTCCGATAGTACAAAAATGGAAAAAAAAAATGTATATATATCTATATAATAAAATTTATTATTATTGGTATACAGGGTTTATATAGAACCAACAGTTTGAGTAGCGTTTAGTCTATAATATGTGTGTGTATATATATACACACACATATATATATATATATATATATATATATATATATATATATATACATACATACATACATACACACACACACACACACACACACACACACACACACACACACATACATATATACACACACATATATATATATATATATATATATATATATATATATATACATACACACACACACACACACACATACATATATATACACACACACACACACACATACATATATACACACACACACACACACACACACACATATATATATATATACATACATATATATACACACACACACACACACACACACACATATATATACACACATATATACACACACACAATTATTTTTAATTGCACACATAATTTTTGCAAAAAGATACAAAAAAAAAAAAAGGGGGTGCAAAATAAAATTTATTTATATAGAAATATATCATTTATATATCTCCCTATGTATTGATGTGAATCACTAACCAGCTCCTTACATCCCCCACAGGGCACCAAAATAGCGAGATCTGCCCACCATTAATTTTACCTGCTTTGCCCCCCCCCAACCCAGTACTGCCTTGATCCCCCTCCCCTTTCTTGCAGCTTTCCTGATGCAGCCAGAGCAGTCTCACTTCTCTTGCTGCATTTTTACTATTTAAAAAAAAAAAAAAAAACAGCGACCGTGATGCGAGACCCGACTCATAATGACTGTGATAGGTAGGTGGACCTGGGAACTCAGCGGGCAGATGTTGTTTCGCCACCAAAAATAAAATAATGCCAGCGGCGGTGTTGGCTTACTAGCATCCACCCCAACCTGAATAATGGCAATGACCCTGCCTATGTAGGAAGGTAGGTCAGGCTTCGGGCACAGTGCTGCATTTTCCAGCACACATGTGTCCTAGGAGGCGCGACAGAAGGAGCTCCGGCGTGAATTGTGCACCCATCCGGATGCTGATCAGTCCTAATCCTCAGCACGGAATGGAAAGTCCCCGGGCATATGGGCAGACAGGAGAGCGGTGCTGTGGAGGGGGGATGGGGGATCACACAGACACATATAGGGCTGTGCACACACACAATAGGAGACACACAGCTGTACAGGAGGTGCAGTGTACCACATACACCAGACTGGATCAGCCCTGAGCTCTACAGCAGCTGTGGAACTACAACTCCCAGCATGCCCCTCCTGTCTTGGGCTTGCATGGCATTCTGGGACTTGTAGTTCCCCACCAGCTGTCAGCCCCCCAGCTGCTTCCAGACACATCCAGGCAGGGAGGAGAAGCTGTAGGTGAGCAGTGGACACTCACCTGGCCCTCCACTCACGGACATCCACACACTGCTGCCTGGCCCCCTTTACTCCAGGAGACAAAATGGTGAATGAAGCAGGAACAGCTGGCCGGGCCAACCAATCACAGCCCACAACTAGACCAGTGACAGAACACGCAGCCAATGGGAAGTCACCTGTCAACCCCCAGGAGGCGGAGCGCGTCTGGCTAGGACGGGCAAAGCCCTAAGCAACACTTACAGTAGCCAATCGCAGCACGGGAAGGGACAGGAAAAGGGCGGATACAACGAAAGCCCAAGTGACAGGCTGGTACAGTAGCCAATAGAAAAACGTGCAGGGCATGGCAGCAGCTGACCAACCACGGTGCTGGATGGAGTGACTTGTTTATCAAGAGCGGAGGCCGCCGCAGGGCCTGACGGGAATTGTAGTTCAGCAAGCCAATGGGTTCAATAGACAGCAAGGAGAAAGTGGACTACAAAGGACTACAACTCGCAGCAAGTGAAGCGGGGAGTGCAGCAGAGGCCAGAGGGAGTGCACGGGGGTCCGGCTTGGTGGAGAAAGGGCCGCATGGCACAGCGAGTTAGGAAGTCCGTCCAGATGTTACAGAAAGGAGCGGGGCAGCTGCGGAGAGCCGCTACCAAGTGACTCACCCCTTTCCCCCCGCTCCCGGCTCTTCATCAGATAACCGGCAGCTCCAGCCGTCTCTTCCCACACAGCAACAGCAAGAGCCCGTCAGGCTCGACCAATCGGCGCCCTGCTAGGCGCCTGCGTCACGGCATGGAAGGGCGGGGCTATGCCCCGGGATCCACTCACTGCCCGTCCCGGCCACGCCTCCCCTCTGTCGGCGCGTGCCGGGGAATGGTTGCTAGCTGATGTCACCGTCGCGGCGGCGCATTGGCTGGTAAGGGGACAAGCGCCAGCCAATGGCGAAAGGTAGCGGTGACGTCGGGAAGCGTGTTGCCATCAAACTAGAAGGAGTGGGGCGTGGCGCTACAGGGACGATAAGGGACTTGTTACACTCGTAGAGGCGTGGCCTGATCTGGCCAATACGCTTCTGCTCGTGAACATTGAGCCAATGGCTGTGCAGAGGGGGCGGTGGCTAATGGTCTTACAATCAGGAACTTGTTAACCAGTTCGCGTCCATCCACAGACAATGCGAAAGGGAAAGAAAAAAAAGAATCAAGATAATGAAAAGTGACTGAAAGAGGAACTGTTTGTGTTGCCTCTGGCGTGCAGTCACATTATCCCTATCATTATTTCACGCTGTAAACGTGCAAAGGAAATCGGGTTGCCCTTAGCAACAAGAAATGTACTTCATGCACCGAATGAGGCCTATCACTCCGCATGTGGCCTATCTTTAAAAAGTATATTAACCCCTCGCCCTCCAGAGGATTTACCCCCCTTCCTGACCAGGCTATTTTTGCGTTACGGTGCTGCGTTACTTTAACTGACAATTGCGCGATCATGCAATGCTGCACCCAAATGAAATCTACGTCCTTTTTTCCCACAAATTTAGCTTTCGGTGCTATTTGATCACCTGTGCGGTTTTTATTTGCTATTAACAAAAGCGAGAATTTTGAAAGAAAAACTATTTTTGACTTTTTGCTATTAAACACGTCAATTAAAATAATTCCGTCATAAATTTAGGCCAAAATGTATTCTGCTCCATGTCTTTGCTACAAAAAAATCCCAATACGTGTAATTTAATTGGTTTACGTGAAAGTTTTTAGCGCTTACAAATGGCGGTATAGATACTGGGATTTTTTTTTTTCACTAGTAATGGCGATCAGCGACTTACAGCGGGACTGCAGCGGACATTCTGACACTCGGGGGAACTGACTTGGTGTCACTGACATCCCCAGTGACACCAATACAGTGATCAGTGCTAATAAAAAGCACTGACACTACTAATGGCACTGGGCAGGAAGGGGTTAACATGAGGGGCGATCAAAGGGTTAACTGTGCTGCGAGTGTTTTACTAGGGGGAGGTGTGTTGGTGCTTCACTGTAAGCCCACTGCTTTGGAACAGCACAGCCATCCAAAGCAGTGTGCCCGAGATGACGGAGGATAACTGTTAGTAAATAAAACAGTCCTCCTCTTCATCGGAGATGCTTGGTAATCACCGGGCGCCAGCGGGTAATCATCGGCCGGCATCCAGTGACTGACAGCTACGGCCGTAAATGGTGGCACAAGTAGGGCATGTGGCTCACGCGTGCCCCTACCGGATATGCAAAATCATATATATATATACGTGATTTTGCGCACCCCTACCGCCCTGTAGCAGTATATCTGTTATAGGGCATCGGGGAAAGCGGTTAAAAGCCTCTATATATATTCCAATATTTATATTCCCGCCTTGATTACTGTAACTCCCTCCTCACTGGTCTACCGTTACACAGGCTATCCCCCCCTTCAGTCTATTATGAATGCTGCTGCTAGACTCATACACCTTACCAACTGACCAGCGACTGCTGCCCCTCTCTGCCAATCCCTTCATTGGCTTCCACTAGCCCAAGATATACATTTTCAAAATACTAACCACAGCTTACAAAGATATCCAAAACACTGCCCCTAGCTACATCACCAACCTCATCCACAGATATCGTCCAAATTGCCCACTCTGCTCCTCCCAAGACATCTTGCCCTCTAGCTCCCTCGTCACCACCTCCCACGCTCGCCTCCAGGACTTCCCCAGAGCCTCTCCCATCTTCTGGAACTCCCTACCCCAGTACGTCCGGTCAGTCTCCACCCTAGCTGCCTTTAGGCGATCTTTGAAACCTCATTTATTCAGGGAAGCCTACCCCACCTCCACCTAAGAACTGTACTTGAGTCACCTCCATCAGAACATCGCCTGCAGCTATCACCTTTTGTACCACCTCCCCCATCGTTTAGATTGTAAGCTCCACGAGCCGGGCCCTCCTGTACTGAAATGTATTGTAATTTTACTGTCTGGCCTTTGCCCTTTATATTGTAAAGTGCTGTGCAAACTGTTGGCGCTCAATAAATCCTGTATAATAATTTTATATATATATATACTTACAGAGTATATAAATATTTTAAATTCTGGATGCAATAAAGAAGAAATAGGACCCTGTTTGGTTTTTTTATTCCTTTGGTGTGACAACAGGAAGTGCAAATATCTGCGTAGTGGAGTGAGGGGTCGTTTACACTTGGGAGTGGGCAGTAAAAACAGGTAGTTGAGTCACAATTTTACCACCCTTCGGCTGCCCCTTAAAGGGTTAATTCACCTTTACCCAAAAAAAACAGCCTAAGCAGATAAGGGACACTGTAGATACAAACTGTGTAGCTTTGACTAAAATTGAACAATTCTTGTGCTATAGGTGTACGCAGTTTACGTTCTCTACCTCATTAAGACCCCGGTCTCACTGGGTGCAACTTGGCATGCGAATTGCATGCCATACGACTTGCAAATCGTATGCCAAGTTGCACCCTATTGTCCCCAATTACGGCGGTCATATCGGTGCGGTTCCGCGTTCATGCAACGCGGAAATTTACAACCTTTTTTTCCCACAAATTGAGCTTTCTTTCGGTGGTATTTGATTGCCTGTGCGTTTTTTATTTTCTGCGCTTTTAAAAAAATAGTGCAAAATTTGGATTAAAAAAAATTATATTTTTTACTTTTTGCTATTAAACATGTCCAGTAAAAGAAATAAAAAAATCAAATTTTGTCATAAATTTACACCAAAATGTATTCTGCTACCTGTCTTTGCTAAAATAAAAATCCCAATACATGTAAATTAATTGGTTTTATGTGAAAGTTATAGCATTTACAAATGGCGGTATAGATACTGGATTTTTTTTTTTTCACTAGTAATGGCGGCGCTCAGCAACTTATAGTGGGACTGCGGCGGACATTCTGACACTGGGGGGAATGGTGGTGGTTAAAAAAAAAAAGCACTTGTGGGTGTAACCACTTATGTACTGGGCACTTTTACCCCCTTTATGTCCAGGCCAATTTTCAGCTTTCAGCACTGTCGCACTTTGACAATTGCGCGGTCATGCAACACTGTACCCACATGATATTTGTATAATTTTTTTCACACAAATGGAGCTTTCTTTTGGTGGTATATAATCGTCACTGGGGTGTGTTTTATTTTTTGCACTATAAACAAAAAAAAGCAAAAAATTGGAAAAAGAAAAGGTGTTTCTTAGCTTCTATTATAAAATTTTGCAAACAGGTAATTTTTCTCCTTCACTGATGTGCGTTGATGATGGGCACTGATAGGTAGCACTGATGGGCACTGATAGGTAGCACTGATGGGAACTGATGAGGTGGCACGGATAGGCAGCACTGATGGGAACTGATAGGCTGCACTGATGATGAGGTGGCACTGGTGGGCATTGATGAGGAGGCACTGATGATGCTGCACTGATATGCAGCAATGATAGGGGCACTGATGGGCGGCGCTGACTGACGGCACTGACAGCCCTTACTGATGGCACTGACTGACGGCACTGATGGGCGCACTGATGCTGGGTGGCACTGCTGGGTGGGTGGCACTGTAGGGCACTGATCATCAGTGCCCTGATGATCAATGCCGATTTGATCTGTGACAGCTACCGGTTATCGGCAGTACTTTCCTTGCGCCGTGACAGCGTGACGAAAGTGCTGCCAATAACCGGCAACTGTATTTACACAGTGATCTGCTGTATCATTGGACACAGCTGATCACATGGTAAAAGGCCACTGTGATTGGCGTTTTACCTCATTATGTGATCAGCTGTGTCCATAGGACACAGCGATCACAGAGATCGCCCGGTGCGCACCACTGGGGGGCGCGTGGGAGGGCGCGTTCTGGTAGGATGTCATATGATGTCCTCCCTGAACTGGACAATCATGCTGTAGCTGTCATTCGGCACGGTAAGAATGTGGTTAACGAACCATTTTTTGTATCATTCTTCTTTAAGGAGGCGTGGCAGGGGTGTTTGTCCTATGCCGACATACATTTGCTTATAGGTGTCCCTCATGCCCATCTCAAAATGTTGGGAGTTATGGAAAGAGCATGTGAGGGGGGTTTGATTCAGAGATACAGCTCACTCCGTGATGGTGGAGGTGAGCAGTAATGGCTAGGCCTCACTTAGCAATGCCCTTAGCAACGTCCTGGGAGTTTTCAGGTCAGGCTTCATAAGGGGTAAAGCACACACAATACATATACTAAAACAGCACACAGTTAACCCTTTGATCGCCCCAGATGTTAACCCCTTCCTGCCCAGTGTTATTAGTACAGTGTCAGTGCTTTTTTTTAGCACTGATCACTGTATTAGTGATATTGGGGATGTCAGTTAGTCAGTATCAGGGGCAGACTGGCCATTTGGAAACTCGGGCCCTGCCCGAGGGCCCGAGGTCAGTAGGGGGCCCCATGAGATGCCCCTGGTATCTTTTTCATAGGCTTTTTTTAGTTTGGGCAAGGACACAGGGGCCCCATGATCCCCTATTGCCCGGGGGCCCCATGAGTTGTCAGTCTGCCCCTGGTCAGTATCAATTATTGTCAGAATGCCCGCCGCAGTCCCGTATTCCAACTATAAGTCACTGATCGCTGCCATTACTAGTATAAAAAAAAATAAAAATTCCAGTATATATACCGCCATTTGTAGACACTATAACTTTCCTGTAAACCAATTCATTTACACGTATTGGGATTTTTTTTAGCAAAGACATGGAGCAGAATACCTGTTGACCTAAATTTATGACGAAATTTGATTTGTAAATTTTTTTTTACTGGATATATTTTATAGTAAAAATTAAAAAAAAAATCTTTTCAAAATTGTCACCTTTTTTTTGTTTATAGCGCAAAAAATAAAAACCGCAGAGGCAATCAAATACCACCGAAAGAAAGCTCTATTTGTGGGAAAAAAGGATATAAATGTCATCTGGAAATGGCACATAGGAGAGTACACCCATCAATATTGTATATCTTTTGTAACTCTAAACAGGTAACCAGTAAAAATGTTTAAAGAGTCGCCTATGGAGATTTGTAAGAACCGTAGTTTGTTGCCATTCCACAAGCGTGCGCAATTTTAAAGCTGGACGTGTTATTATTATTATTATTATTATTATACAGGATTTATATAGCGCCAATAGTTTGCTCAGCACTTTACAATATGTTAGGTATCTAGTTACTTCTCTTTCATATTTTACAAAAACATTTGGATATATATTGTGGGGATTTTTTTAATTCATTAAAGTTTTTTTTTTTTTAATTGAAAAACCACTGCGCAAATACCATGTGACATACAAACATTTCAATGACCATTATTTCATTCTCTAGGGTCTTTGCTTAAAAAATATATTTTGGAAGTTATACGTAATTTTCTAGCAAAAAATACGGATTTAAACTTGTAAACAAAACATTCCAGAAAATGCTCAGAGTCCAAGATAGATCAGCCCTGGAAAAAAAGCAAAGTTGAGATCTGCAAACAAAATCTGGTAACACCATAAGAACCAGAAAAATGTCATTAATAAAAACATTTACATTCATCAATATGCAACAAAAGTTCAGAAAGTGTATTATAATATGTTTCACGACTGCCCGAAGAATGAGCGCTTCTGGCTTCAAGAAATGCTCCAAAATCAGCGAAAATATTGAGCTTTGTTTAACACTAAAATCTAGACACAAAACCGTTCTATTAAATATATTCCTCAATAGCCGCTAAGGATATAAATACACTTTGTGTGTACCATATGCATTTGCAAACCCAGTTATTATCTTGTAAATGTAGCAGTGACATCATCACTGTGCTGTACATAGCCTGTGCAGAGAGCAGAGCTGTGGGAGGGGCCTAGAAGGGGCTCCATCCACTACAGATTGCCTGCAGAAAACTACAGGAGGGGGCAGAGTCAAGACAAGTCATCCTGCACAAGGAGAGCAGCAGTGAGTGGTTTTTGTTACAGGAAGGAAAAGCTTCACACTGGATTACTGCACAGATCTGGAAGATATATATATATATATATATATACACTGCACAAAAAAATTAAAGGAACACTTTTTAATCAGAGTCTAGCATCAAGTCAATTAAACTCCTGGGATATTGATCTGGTCAGGTAAGTAGCAGAGGGGTTGTTAATCAGGTTTCAGCTGCTTTGGTGTTAATGAAATTAACAGGTGCACTAGATGGGCAACAATGAGATGCCTTCCCAAAACAGGAAGGGTTTTACAGGTGGAGGCCACTGACATTTTTTTTCCCTACTCATCTTTTCTGACTGTTTTTCACTGGTTT